CTGAACTGTGTTTCTCTGAAAGTCTTCTGGCCAAAGCCCTGCCCAATCTCCTCAATGGGGTAGTAACAGGAGATGGAGTCTCCTTCAGAGGTGATAGGGCTTAGAGGAGGTCAGGAGGGTGGAGCCCTCATGCTGGGATTAATGCCTGTACAAGAGATGCCAGAGAGCTTCCTGTCTGCCTCTTCTCCCTGCCTCCCTACCACATAAGGACACAAGGAGAGGGCAGCCATCTGCAAGCTTGGAAGAGAGCCCTCGCCAGGGAACGAAATCCACTGGATCTTGAACTTTCTAGCCTCTAGACTGTGAGAAATGAAGTGCTGTTATTTAAGCTGCCCAGCCTACGGTATTTTGTTACGGCATTCCGAGCTGATGAGTACAAAAATACTTCCTAATTTCAATCTCACTGTCTTCTTTGACCCTTGGATTACTGAAATGTGTGTTAGTTTCCAGATATTTGAGTATTTTCCAAATATCCTTGTTTTTAATTTCTAATTTAATTCAACTATGTTCAGAGAAAATATTTACATCACTTGAATCTTTTTAAATTTATTGAGATTTGTCTTAAGGCCTAGAATCTATTTCAGTTAATGTTTTATGTGCACTTGGAAAAGATAAACATTCTTCTGATGTTGAGTGGAGTTTTTATAAATATCAGTTAGGTCAAGTTAGTTAACAATAATGAAGTTTTCTATATCCTTGCAGATTTTTCTACTTGTTCTTTCAATTATTGTGAGAATTGAAACTGAACTTTCCAACTATAATTGAGAAGATATTCCTCCTTGCACTACTATCAAGTTTCACATATTTTGAAGCTGTCATTAATCACATAAATGTAATTTTTATGTCCTCTATATGAATTTACCCCTTCATTATGATGAAATGTTCTTTAATCCTAGTTATATTCTTTGCTCTGCAGTCTACTTCGTCAGATATTAATATAGCCACTTTCTTCTGATGAGTCTTTTGCCATTTCTTTCAACTATTTGTGTCCATATATACATATATATATTTGAGAGAGTTTCACTCGTTACCCAGGCTAGACTGCAACGGCGTGACTTTCTCTCACTGCAACCTCCACCTCCCCAGGTTCAAGTGAGTCTCCTACCTCAGCCTCCAAAGTGGCTGGGATTCCAGGCACCCACCACCACATCTGACTAATTTTTTGTATTTTTAATAGAGACAGGGTTTCACTATGTTGGCCAGGCTGGTCTCAAACTCCTGATCCCAGGTGATCCACCAGCCTCGGCCCCCCAAAATTCTGGGATTAGAGGTGTGGCCCACCATGCCTGGCCTTGTCTTTATATTCTAAACATGTGTCTTGTAAGCAGCACATGCAGATGTTCCCTGACTTAGTTTGGTTCAATTTACAATTTTTCAATTTCACAATAGCACAAAACCATCTCAACTTTGATGTAATGTACAATATTCAGTAAGTTACATGACATATCCAGCACTTTATTATAAAATAGGCTTTGTGTTAGAATTTGCCCAACTATATGCTAATGTAAGTGTTTTGAGCACATTTAAGGTGGGCTACGCTAAGCTATGATGTTCAGCAGGTTAGGAATATTAAACACATTTTGGCTTATGATATTTTTAATTTACAATAAGTTTATCTGGATGTAACCCAAAGTCACTTGAGGAACATCTATAGCTGAATGGTGCTTGTTTGTTTGATCTGACAATGCCTGCTTTTTAATTGGGATATTTAAAGTATTTACATGCTATGCAATTATTAAATATAGTTAGAATAACTTGTACAACTTGTTTTATGTCTGTTTCCTTTTGCCCTTTTTCTACAATCCATTCCATTAAATAAATATTAGTTATTATTCTCTTTGTTTTTCCTTTCAGTGGTTGGAGTTTATCGTGTGCATTTTTAACTTGCCATGGATTACCTTCAAGTCATACCTTCAAGTCATTTACAGACTATAAAAATCTTACATTAATAGACTTTAATTTCTCCCCTTCCAGGCTTTTATTGTCATCGATTCTACTTACACGTTACATTATTTTTTAAACAATTATCTCAAAGTGGTTTGAATACTTTTTTAAGTATGTGAATTTACCTATATAGTTACTCTTTTCAGTGTTCTTCACGACTGTGTGAAGATCCATGTTTCCATTTGCTGTCATTTTCCTTCTGCCTTAAGGACTTCCTTTTGCATGTCTTACCATGTGGGCCCCCTGTTGATGAATTCTTTTTAGATTTTCTATATGAAAAAAATGTCTGGTTTTAGTACATAAGAAAAATTTTCACTGGGTGTAGTACTCTGAGGTAACAGGTGTTTTCTTTAAGTAAAGGTATTGCTCTGTGGTCTTCACACGTGCATTCTCTAAAGAGAAATATATTGTCATCTTCATCTTTGTTTCCTGGCCTGTAACATGTCTCTTTCTTTGGAAACTTAAAGATTTTCTCTTCATCATTGCTTTGAAATAATTTTATTATGATGTGCCTTAGTGTAGTATTCTTCATGCTTCTTGTGCTCTGGCTTCACTGAACTTCTTGATTCTGCAGGTTTATACCATTCATAAAATCTGGAATTTAGGACCATTTTTCAGATGTCTTTTTCGGTTCCCTCTCTCCTTCAGAGGTGAGAACTGCATATTTGTTAGGCCACCTGAAGTCTTCCCGTAGCTCACTAATGCTTTCCAGTCCTTGTTATTATCTTTTTACTCTGTTTCATTTTGGATCTATGTCTTCAAGTTCATTAATCTTTCCTTATATATCTAACATGCCATTAATCCCAAGTGTATTTCTGTCTCAGACATTGTAATGTTCATGTGTACATGTTTGATGTGGGGCTTTTTAAATATCTTTAATGTTGCTACCTGATGAATAATAACAGTTTTAATGCCCCAGTCTGCTAATCCCAGCACCTGTATCTGTTCTAGGTCCATTCCAAATGGTTTGCATCATTCCTGTCACAGGTTATATTTTCTTTCTTTTTTTATATGCCTGCTAATCACTGATTGGTTGGCAGACATTGCAAATTGTACCCTTTATGTTGTTGAATATTTTTGTATCACTCTAAATGTTCCTGAGGTTTGTTCTGGGATGCAGTTTGTTCTGCGATGTCAGAAACAGTTTGGTTCTTTGGGGTCTTAGTTTTGAGATTTCTTAGGTGGAACCAGAGCAATGTTCAGTTTAGAGTTACCTCTCACAACAGACAAGAGCCTTCTGAGTACTCTACCCAATGCTCCATAAATTAAGAGGTTCAGCCTGCCTGGCAGAATAGACATTATTATTACTCCTGTTCTTGTGTGCGTCAAGCACTCTTCCCTCTCATCTTTTTGGGTTGCTCTCCCCAGGTCTCAGGTAGTCTCCTCGAATGAATGCACTGATCTGAACACTCTGCTGAATACTCCAAGGGGACCCTCTGAGGATCTCTGCAGTGCTCTCTCCCTGGTCAGCTCTGTCCTCTCTGGGCTCTCACTGCCATAGTCTCCCCAGACTTTCAGCTTCATCCCGTCAACTCGGGAAGTCTCAGGGGCTCTGCCAGGATCGTCCCTCCCTGCACTGCACTCTGGAAGCTCTCTCAAGTAGTGAGCTGGAGCAGTCACAGAGCTCACTGCATTTGTGTCCCATCTTGCAGGGATCACTGTCCTTTTGTGCCTGGTGTCTGGTGTCTTGGTTACCATTGTTCCATGTGTTCTGTCTGGTTTTGGTTTATTTTTGTTTGTTTTATTTGTTTGGCTATCTCAGGCAAGAGAGCAAATCCAGGCCCTGTTACTCCATGTTAGCCAGACGCAGAAGCTGTGCTGTCTTTTGTATTCAAATATATCCACATACAAACACTCTGGGATGCTATCTCCAACAAAATATTAAAAGGATTTACCTTTGGTTCGTGGAATTATGAATTTTTATTGTGTGTGTGTGTGTCTATGAGACTTCTGTTTTCTACAAAAAAATATATTACTTTTTTATGGAATGAAACTAATAATACAGTTTTTCTTTTCCAAAAATAGTTCTTTTCCATGAGCATGAGCTGCCTCCTGGTAACAGGTGCCCTTAGGCAGGCTCTGTTACCACCTGCTATGTTCCAGGGTGTCACAATCATGGCTGCACACCTCAGCTCACACAGCCAGATTGCTGCAGTGTTGCCAAGCAGTTTCCCTGGGCAGCTAGGGAATGTAGAGCCATACCCAGAACCTCTGAGTTCTGAGAGGCTGAGCATGAGTTCTAGAGCATGCTGGTCCCATAAAGTAGCCATTAACACCCTGGAATCATGGGTTCTCAAAGGTTTAAATATTTGTCTGAAACACAGAGTTCAAATACAAACACACTGACACCCTTTGGACACATACACACACATAGATACAACATCTACAAGAAATAACACCAATGTGGAAGCATCTTACTGATACCTGACAGACGGGAGATTGAGAAAATTCTAATGATCAAAGAGTGGAGAATAAAAATTAATGATACAGTTCTAATTTTCATGCTTGAAGATGTGTAAAATACCATTTCACTCTCTAATACTTTGTCATTATCACACTATACAAAGAAATTATACACTAATATTTATATGGGGCTTTCAGGCAGTTTATTTCTAAAGACATTTGTTTCCAACCCTTAAAAAATAAATTTTAAGTCTCATCAGTAAATTAATCTACCACAGTTAAGAAGAGAATCTCGTATCTCCAGTGAGAGGGAACAGGTCATTTTGTTTTTAATGTTAGTTGGAAGAAACCTCAGTTCCTATTAATATAATCAATATAACATACTATGACTGCCTATGTCATGTTATCCAGTTATTTGTTTAAAAACTGATCAGAATGAGAACGAAGTCAATTCCAGCCACTTAACTCCAGGACTGAAGGGCCAGTCACCTAACATCCTACTCTTGAGATGCCCAGTAGCACTCACCTTGAAGAGCTGGTGTGATGACCTTGATTTCTAACAAAGGCGTCCATGTGGGGGAGTGGTGGTCCACGAGCGCTAAGCAAGTGGAGGTGTGCGTTTTTGGAAGCAACCCTGGCATGCTGGTACGTACCATCTTCCTCAGCTCTTGGTTGGAAACAATAATGACATTTGGAGGGTCCCCAATGGCAGTGGCAGCTCCTCCAATGTTTGTGAAGATCACTTCTGCAATCAGGACTTGCCTTGGATCCAGGTTGAGCACCTCACACAACCTGTCACAAACGGAGGAAAATGAAAGCGGTCCCACAGTACACACCGTGAAAGGCCCACACACAACCCAGATATGTTTAAGGCACTTGCTCGTGTAAGGGAGGCACGCACGCGCGTACACGCACGCACACACACACACCCCCCCAAGTGAGGAGGGCAGTGCTGCGGGGGAATGAACAAATGCAACAGCCTCTGCAGCAGGACAGGGCAGGGCAGGCCCTCCACAGCCAAGCTGCTGCAGGTGGTCAGGTCCTCTGGGCCAGTGTGGGGGCAGTGTGGATGGCTCACACTGGGCCTGCTGACTCAGCCCCTTTCCCACCTTCCCCTTCCCGGATACCAAGGCCCTAAGCTCTCTTCTCACCCCTTCCCTTTGTTTCATTCATCTTTGTATTTTTTTGTTTACTTTGTATTGCTATAATACATACTAGACAGACATTTTTGGGGTATATGTGATACTGTAATACATTCATATAATCAAAGCAAGTAACTGGGATACCTGTCCCCTTAAATAGCTATCTGTTCTTTACCCTGGGAGCATTCCAGTTATTCTCTTCTAGCAAGGTTGAAGTGTACAACCGATTCATGCTAACTGTGTTCACCCTACACATCTGTCAGGCCACACTCTACAGCTGTGCAGCTCCACCACAGCCTCACACTAGATTTGTGCTGGAATCCAGGAGTCCTACGGCTTGGCCAGCACAGACCAGTGCCTGGGAGTGGGCCGGGCCGTGGTGCTCTATAGCTCCCCAGGGGACCCAGCATGTACAGAATTGGGAAACACTGCACTAAGCAAAGTATAGAAGGCACATCCCAGCATCCCCCACACCTGCCCATCCACATAGCCCACCCTCCATGCCTCTGATGAGGAACCTCACGGTGGCTGTTCCACCTTCCCCCAGCTATGTGACCCTGTGAGCCCTGAGCATGCGTGTGACCTGCTGAGCCAGCCCAGATGGCAGATAGTGATGGAGAAGAACATGGACAGGGACTCCTGGCACCTGCTGGTCCGGGGTGAGCCATTCTTGTCCACATTTCTCCCCATGAGAGCATAATCTCCAGGAAAGCAAGGCCTGTGTCTTCTGCGTCTCACAGGCATTTCTGCCACCGGATTCTGCGGCCCCACTGCTTGCAGTGTATGCCGCAGTCATACAAAGCAGACAGGGGCTGGACTGAAATGTAGTGAACTGTGGGCACGACCACCCACCTTTTCACGCACCTGAGAAGGAAGCCTGGAGCCAGGCCATGCAGCCAGAGCACACGCCTGCCAGAGCCTGGCCACAACCCCCAAGGCAGAGGTGCTCTGCATACCTTATGGTCACAGGTGTGAAGAGGAGCATGGTGGTGACGTTGTCCAGGAAGGCAGAGAGGACAGCCGCGATGAGACATAGCATGATGATCATGGCCCACACCCGTCCCCGGGAGAGCTGGTATGCCTGGCCACACACACACAGAGGATACAAGCCAGAGTCAGCGGGCTCATAAGAACAGAGGCTGCCTTTCATTAGTGACTCTAAGAACAGGGAGCCAAGCTAACATTGCCCCATGGGTTAAGACGTAGACCCACAGAGTCCTAGGGGAGCTGAGATGAGACAGCACTGGCCCCCACAGTTCCTGGACATTCTAAATCCTCCCCAGTCAACACTGTCATCCCTCTGATCCTCCTCCTTCACAGAGTCCCTGTGAGGGTTAATTTGTCACAAGGCGATGACTCTCAGTCCACGTAATGCCATTAGTATTCTGGTTAGACAATCTGAGCTTTGAAAGTTAGGATCCATGTGAGCCTAGTGTCTGCTGACCTCTGGGGAACTAAGGGATACTTTACTAAGTAAGGAGTAAGGGACCAAATCTACCTGGCATGTGCAAGATGGGGGACAAAGAAGACAAAAATCACAGCACAGTTCTGTCATTCTGAGTTTACACAGGGTTTGCTGAGTTTTTAAAAGACCTTTTCAGCTTCAAAAAATAAATATTCACACACAGCACTAGACTGCATTAGCAGGGCATGGTACATGATGAGCTCTCCTCTTGCCCACCCTGAATGACAGGACAGGTAAATCCTGGAGGCCAGGGCTGGCTGGTGAAGCTCCCCAGGGTTCCAGTTCCAGTTAAAAACATGACTGTGCATATATTCAATATTTAGAAGGTAATCATGGAAATTATTTCACCAAAGAGCAAAGTAATCAGAAACTAACGGCTTGAAACATTTGGATACTCTAATATGCAAAACAATTTTTGATGTGTAGCTCTCACCAATTTAAATAATACAGAGACATTCAACCTGAGTACCCTCTTCCTTGACCTCCTCCTTCATTTATTTACTGAGCAGCTGAGAGTGCCACTCAGAGCCACAGCTCACCATAGCAAGCACGCCCTGCCCTGCACAAGCAGCCTTTAAAAGAAGGATGGCATTTTTAGGTGTTTGTTTTCAATGTCTGTTTCCTAAATATATGTCAGAAAAAAAATATATATATATATAATCAGTGTACAATTATTAAATGCAACATCACACCTACCTTTACAGCACAATAATCGAAAAATCCCGTTTCTGAAAATATGGCTACTAAGATCATCTATGGAGAAAAGAGAAGAAAGAGCAAGGATCATCTTTAGCAGGACACCATGTTAAAATGACGTCAGCATCATCAGTTACAAACTTGAGCTCTGGCCCCTGAAAGCCACCACACCACCAAGCTCTTCCCTCTGATGCAGAAAGCCCGTCAGTTCCTAGAGTAGTATACTCACTAACTCCTCAAATTGAGCCTCTTGCTGGTGATTTTGTGCCTATATGTTTGTCCAGGAACATTGCCTCAAGGCACATGACCATCCCATCAGATCCTCACAAAAAAAAAAAATCAGGTATTATTTTCACCCCCTGTCTTATAGAGCAGGAAATGGGATGAGAGTGCGAGGCAGCTTGCTCCCAACCACAAAGCTAGAAGCAGGCTGGCTCCAGCACATGGCCTTCTGCACCTATGTGGCCACACAAGCAACACTTAAACATCCTAAGATGTTAAAACTGGGTTACATTTTGTTTTCTAAAATAATTAAACTGATTTTTGTCACCAATTTGGGAGCAGTTGTATGAAACAATTGTTCCCTGGGCTCCAGGTGAACCCAAAACACCTGTCGACTATTTCTTTCCAGTGAGGATGAGGAGTTGGTGAAAACGCCATCCTGGATCCTAATAAACAGCCATGTCCCGGTTATTCCGAATTTTATCAACCAGACATTTCAACCAGTGAATGTTCTGGAAGTTTCTATGCTTCACCTCTTAGATGGCAGTCACCGTGTGTCGAACTTGGAATGAGAAGATGCAAGTTCAGATCCTGATTCTGCCACTTAAAAATAGTCCAAACTTGAACAAAAATATGAGGTAACCTTTCTGTCCTTCAGTTTGCTCACCTTGCCTCTGAATGTCCTATACTTCGTCAGGTTGCGAAAATGCAATTAATTATTTAAATTAAAATACTTTGTAAACAGGAGTCTGAGCAGACACTATTGTCTCTCAGATAAACCGTAGAAAACAAAAATGTCCCAACAATTTAGACTCAGTGTGAACATCCACTGTGTCCAGAGTGACCACAATGTTCATCCTCACCCAAAAGGCCACTGAGAGCTGGCGGTGGAGCATGGGGCTTTGCACAGCAATGGAGCTTCACGTGGACACGCATGAAACAGACGTGTGCAGACCCGTGTGGTGTTTTACACGTTTGCCGACAGAACCGCCCAGGGAGACTAGAACTCAGGGATGGGGGTAAATGGCTCCGCGGGTGGTCGGCTGCCAGGAAATACGGCAGAAAAGGCAGGAACCTAGTTGTACAGACCCTGCACCCTGCAGTTCCAGCATCGCAGAACCTGCAAGTGCTCAATGAACTGAATTCCACTGAGAAAAAAGTGCTGAAGCCCTTTTTATAGGCTGAACTGTGTCCCAAAAAGATTCTTATCTAGCCCCTAGTACCAGGGAACATGACTGTATTTGGAGTGAGGGCGTTGAAGGAGATACTTAAGTTAAAATGAGGTCATTAGGGTGAGCCCTGATTCAGTGTGACTGGTGTCCTTATAGGGTGAGGGCATCAGGACTCAGAAACACAGAGGGAAGATAAAGTGAAAACACAGGGAGAAGGTGCCATCTACAAGCCCAGGGGAGAGGGTCAGGAGAAACCAAACCAGCCCACACCATGGTGAGGACTTCCAGCCTCCAGAATTATGAGAAAATACATGTATATTATCTAAGCCATACAGTCTGTGGTATTTTGTTACATAGTCCCAGCAAACTAATACGGCATTCTTTCTCAAAAAAAAGGCATATCTCAGGGATATCTGGCACACTTCCCCTCTTCTATCCAGATGTCCAAGCCCTACATACATCTCAGGCTCAACACAAATATTGGTTACTCTGTGAAGCCTGGGTTAGAGCACTGACCTGCCTCCCCATGCGCCGCCTGCCCACAGAGGATGGCGACATGGTTTTCGGTCAGGTCACATGTAAGCCTCGCATAGCTGGGCTTCCGTTATGTCGGCCAGCCTTGGGAGGGTTGAAATGTTAGCAAGGAAAATGAGGATCAATGGTGCCCAGCTGGACACAGAGCAAGTCTTCTCGCCCAGAGAGGACAAGCCCTCCTGCAGACCACTGGGCTGTCTGGGGTCTGCTCAGGAACATGGGCCGCCCTGCTGTTCACTAGTGAAGCTGGGTTATGATCGTGTCCCACACTAGCGCGCTTGTGTACCTGGAGTTCCTGAAAGTGAACTTGGCGGCACTCCTCACAGCAGAGTGGCCACTGGGCAATAGGATCAGTTAGCAAACACCCAGATTACTACTTATGAGTGATACCTTCCCTTCTTCACATAATGAAAGGTACTCTTCTCCCACTGAAACTCCTACATAGTTCACTTATTTGGGATAGTCCAGCTTTTTTATTTTAAGGGCAGTAACTCAAAAGAATTGCTAGCTTTTCTAAATGGCAATGTGATTTCATCGTCAGACAAGCCTTGGGCTGGAAATCTCCAGCCAATGAACCAGAGCTCCACTCCACTCCTCAGGAGAGATTCATGAGCCCCACGCTGACACTTCTCAGGGAAGCCCTGGGCACTGTGTCTTTCATATAATGATGGACCCTCAGCAGCGGAGGCAAGAAAAAACCCAGCGATTGCAGGCGTGGAGCCCAGTCCCACTGGAAAGCCAATAATTACCATGCCGAACAGCAGGGCCAGCGTCTCAAAATCAATCCACTCCACCACGTGGGTCAGGCTGGGTCTCTGCACAAAGCACACATTTGCCAATTAATCCAGTATGCCACCATCCCCATGATGAGCTTAATGAAGCACTGCACCCTGCTGCAGACCCACTCGGCAAACCTCACCGTCCACTTGCCTTTGAAGCTGTTGTAAAACAGTCTTGACCCAGGGTGTCTAAAATGTCAAACCTATGCATGTAGTCATCAATTTTTTCTAGCCCCTGCCTCTAGCAGCTCCCACATGGCAGGACTATCCCCCAGTTACCTTCTTAATGGAGTCTGTATGTGCCCTCTGCAGTGCCATACCTGAGGCCAGATGACAGGAACGGGTATGGCCACCTGTGCCACTCTCAGCTGGGCTCCAGCACTGCCTCTCAGACAACTCAGGGCCCCCAGCCCCAGTGGCCACAGGTCTCTGTTGTTTACCTACATTTGTTCCCCATGTCCCTGCCAGAGAGGCCCTGCTCAGACTCAAACAGGACCCCCTCGTCCCCAAACACACCTCTCCAGGGGCCTCCTGATCTCTGCAGGACAGACCCCGGCCTGACCAACTCCCACCTTTCTGTACCAGCTAGGAGGGCTCCCTCTAGTTCCAACACTCGGATCCAGCCCCACCACCACCCAGCTCCTCAGCCCTGGGCAAACATGACCATAAGGAGCCTTTCCTCAGCCACAATGAGGAATCACACCCCCGGGGATGTGAGTGTGTAACAACACTGAATAACAATGCTCTTCAATGCTGTGGCTTGTTAGTTCAAACCTCTAACACAGTCCTTGGGCAAAAATATGGAAGTGGCATATACAACAGTGAAAAACACCAGTGAAAGCCTGAATCCTGGAATGTCTCTGAGCTGACATTCCACTGAGTGGTGAGCCAGGGACTGGGACTGGGACAACTTACGTCGCCAATCACGGCCAGCGCTGCCAGTGCCGCAAGGGAACCCAGCATGGCGGCCAGAGTTCTGTGCACAATCTGCAAAGAAGCACACGACATGACTGCATTTTGGTCCACGAGGGAGTGAGCGCCCACGAAGGCCTGTGTGGACGTGAGGGAGTCTGTACCTGCCACTGTGCACCACAACTATTCGCATGGTAAGTCAGTCACAGGTCTTGCTGTTTCAGGCCTGGATACCCCACAGACACAGACAGCTACCACCAACCTGCCTTCTAAGGGAAGCTGCTTTCATTTCCTAAATAATTAGATGACCCTGATAAAACAGTGGAAGGCCAGACAGAGTTTGTTCTATGGGAAAGCCACGGCAGACTGTCATTAATTATTTGCCATATGCTCCCGTGGCAACTGGTCCATTCATTCAGCACCATAAACCGATTCCTCCCAATTGCTAGACTCCTATTATACCAAAGGCACACAGTCCAACACTTTATATAATTGGGACTTCTGTGTACCACAAAAGTAACATTTGTATTTGATTGTAATTCAAACAGAAGTGGAATTTCTAAGACAAAATATGAGAAAAGGCCAAGACATGGAGAGTTGGAGCTTTCATACATTCCTAGTGGGGATGTAAAATGATCTAGCCACTGTGGAAAGCAGTTTGGCAGTGTCTTACAAAGTTAAACATAAGTTTACCGTATGAATGTGCCCAGCAATTCTACTAGGAATCCACCCAGCAGAAATGAAAACACATGTCCACACAAAACATCGATGCGAATAACATTATACAAAGGAGACAAAAACTGGAAACATTCCAAATGTCCACCGGCAGTGAAGGCACAGAGGAGACATGGCACAGCCCGTGTGCAGATGGGTGCTTAGAAGTTATGCTGGGGAAAGAAGCCAGATGCAACAGATGGGATCAGTCACTATGTAAACTTCCAGAAAAAGTAAACTGAGAGAAACAGAAAGATCAGGGCTGCCCAAGGCGGGGGGAAGCAACAAGAGTTGACTAGAAACGGGTCCCCGGGATCCTCATGGGGTGATGAAATGCGCTAACATGGTGATGGCTGCAAAACTCTAAATCTAGTAAAAATAACTTACTCATACACTTCTTCCAAAGACTGAAATTATGGTATTTAAATTATACCTCAATAAATCTGTTTAAAAAATACAAGAAGAATGGGGCAAGATTGAGTGGAAAATTAAATGCTAGCAGGCATTATTCACTTCTTAATCCCCTAAAGGGACTCTCACTCCATTTCTTCATGGCTTCCATCTCATAGAACTCGACTCCCTTTGCCAGTATTACCTGAAACTCCAATTCCAACTAAAATTAGTTTATTTATAATGTGTGCTACTAGACTCAAAGTTCATTTTCAGGAAATGAGATACTACGTGTCGGCTTTTCACAGTTTAAGCTTTTAAGAGTTGTTCTGTTTTAAATGTAAATACCTAAAATCCAGTAAATTGCTACCAAACTCCCATAATTCCTTCCATTCACTCTCCGCTTTTCGGTCTTTGTTTAGGACCCATTTTAAGGACACTTCCTTGTCCAATGCCGAGGGTGGCCCTGGAGGTTCACCCGCTGGGCACGGCGAGTGGGCACCACAGCCAGGCTGCCCTCTCCACCCTACACAGAGCAAAGCAAAGACACTCCGCTTTGGTATGTCTCCTTTTTGGCATTTAATTAAGTCTCGATGAGTAGAACCAGATGTGACAGCATGTGCATACGGCCGTGGATGAAAGGAGGAAGGCACTGCAGGCACAGATCAGACGGGGTGAAGCTGGCTCCGGGCCAGCCCTGCAGTCTGTGACACTTTCCTTTCTTCTGGCTTCACCTTTGGGCTAAGTTTGTCTGGAGGGAACAGAGACTTTCAGTAAAAAGCAAAGAGCCGGCCTGGCACAGTGGCTCACGCCTGTAATTCCAGCACTTTGGGAGGTCAAAGCAGGCAGATCTTTTGAGGCCAGGTGTTCAAGAGCAGCCTGGCCAGTATTATGAGACTTCATCTCTACTAAAAATTTAAAAATAAAAAAAAATTAGCCAGGTGTGGTGGTGCACACCTATAGTCCCAGTGACTCAGAAGGCTGAGATGGGACACTTGCTTGAGCCCTGGAGGCAGAGGCTGCTGTGAGCTGAGACTACACCACTGCACTCCAGCCTTGGTGACAGAGCAAGACCCCATCTCAAACTAACAAAAAAGAGCAAAGAGCCATGACTACCGACCACTGGTCAGCAGGACTGGATAGCAGCAAAAATAATTTTTATTGAGCACCCACTGTGCACCTGGTCCTGGAGTAAGTGCTCTACACACACCATCTGTACCTTTCATAGTGACCATACGAGGTAGAACTACAATCACCCACTTTGTAGAGGAGGAAACAGTCTCAGGAATGCTGAGTAATCTTCTGTGTCAGAAAACAAAGGACATGCACACCCAGGATGCAGACCAGTATTTTCTTACCCCGTGCACCTCTTCTCTCCTCGTGGGGCCTTGCTTGCTCATCCGTAAAATCAGAAAACTGCACTACACACCTCAAGGAGCCCTCAGCTCTGGAGGAGGTCCGTGAACATCATGAAATTGAGTCCTAGCAGATTCACACACAAATGAGCAACCGCGGCCCTCGTAGGACAGCCGGGCTGACTGTGGTCTAAGTTCGCTCCGCCCACTGCCACCGTCAATACCTGTCGCCCCACTCATCGCACACACCGGCTTGCACATGATCCACACATAAGCGTCTCTGCAGCCCACAGTGAGTGCTCAGGACATGTGGATGCAGCTGTCCTCACTCGGAAACCCACCCTCCTCCACCAGCTAAGGAGCCCCACATACCATGTAGGAGGAGAAACCTTCACTTGTCATTTAAGAAATGGAATAGCATGCAGATGATCAGCCTCTAGTATGTGGAATAAAACTTTTTAAACTACATGGTTCTAAAAGAAGATGAGTTCATTGCTTCGGATATAATTATGGACATTGCTAAATTTCTACGCTTAAGAAAAAGAATTTTCATCTATCAGGAATATAAAAAAATATGGCAAATAGGCCTAAAATGTAAAAATAATAAAAATTCTTAAAAGATGCCTGCCTTAAAGCAGGGTTTCACCCCCCGCCAATCCTGCCACAGACTGGTACCAGGGCTGCACAGTGAGAGGTGAGCTGGGCAAGTGAGCATGACCACCTGAGCTCCGCCTCCTGTCAAATCAGCAGCAGCACCAGATTCTCATAGGAGCGTGAACCCTACTGTCAACTGTGCATGCACAAGAGCCAAGTTGCACACTCCTTATGAGAATCTAATGCCTGATCATCTGAGGTGGAACCATTACATCCCAAAATGATGCCCCACCCTGTGGTCCATGGAAAAATTGTCTTCCATGAAACTGGTCCCAGGTGCCAAAAAGACGGGATCACTGGCTTAAAGGACTGTATAAAGGTCCTCTTCCTGTCCATGTGCTGGGAAATACAACACACCTCTTCCTACCGGGCACAGAACACATCACCTAGCTTCCCAGGCACCACCTGACAGACCCAGCCGCCATTCTACCACTGCTCTCCTCTCCAGTCGAGCCTACACTCTGTGCTGCTGAGTTTCTTTGGCGAGCTCCTGAGGTGGACAGCGTGGCGTGCCTCTCTTGGATTCTTCAGTGCTCTGCACGGTAACCAACACCTGCTGAGCAAAAGAGGAGCAGAAAATGCATGAACAGAGCCTGCAAAGCAGAAGGCCTGCATCACTTCTGGAGAGAAGAAAGGAAAGACTTTGGGGGTAGCACCCAAGAAAATGATCTAGAACATCTCTGATCTTCATGCATCTGCTCCTCCAGTCACACAGGTTTAGAGCTACTCATCATGTAAATTCCCAATAGGTGGGATACTGAGCAGATGGAAAGACAAAACTTCTTTTGGTTACCATTTGCATGGAAATTTGCATGGAAATGGTAACCAAAAGACAGCAGGGATAGCTGAAGTTATGTCAGATAAAATAGACTCTAAGTCAAAAACTGCCTCTAGAGTCAAAGAAGGTCATTATCCACCCTCTTCCACTGACAAAAGGGTCAATTCGACAGGGACCTATCACAGTTATAATAAATACACACCCAACACCAGACCACTTAAATATACATAGCGGTATTAACAGAGCTAAAGGGATAGAGTGACAGCAACGCAATGTACTATGGGACTTCAATGTCCCATTTAAGTTAATGGATAGAACATCCAGACAGGAAATCAATAAAGAAACAGCAGATTTGAACAGCACTGTACACCAAGTGGACCTAACAGACATAGACAGAACTTTCTACCCAACAGCCAAAAAATATACATTCTTCTCTAGCATACACAAAAAATTCTTCAGAATATATCACATATTAGCTCACAAACAAGTCTTAACAAATTTTATTTATTTAAAAAAATTGTTTTAGAGACAAGAGTCTCGCTCTGTCACCCAGGCTGGAGTGCAGTGGTACAGTTAAAGCTCACTGCAGCCTTGAACTCCTGGACTTAAGCAATACTCCTGCCCCAGCCTCCTGAGTAGCTAGGACTACAGCTGTGCACCACCACATCCAGCTAATTTTTTTTTTGCAAAGATCGGGGGTCTTGCCATGTTGCCCAAGGTGGTCTTGAACTTCTGGCCTCAAGTGATCTTCCTGCCTCAGTCTCCTAAAGCACTAAGATTATAAGCATGACCCCCCCCCACGCTTGAACTTAACAAATTTTAGAAGATGGAAATAATATCAAGTATATTTTTCAAACATGATGGTATAAAACTAGAAATTCATAACAGGGAAAATAGGGAAATTGATAAATATGCAAAAATTAAGCAACACACTGTTGAACAACCAATGTATCATAAAATAAAAAAAGGGAAATCAGAAAGTATCTTGAGTCAGACAAAAATGGAAACACAACATAGCACAATTCATGGGACACAGCTAAAGCAGTCAGATACCTACCTCAAAATCGTTAGCCTGATTTGATCACTCTACAGTGTACACATGAATGGAAACCACACTGCGCCCTTACATATATACAATTATCATTTGTTCATTAAAACAGAAAACTTTAAAAAAGAAGAAACAA